GTCTAATCTGTGGGATCTAATTGGTCGTAGGGAGGTAATTGGCAGGAGGTGGTCTCTCAAGTACCCAGGTCCGATACCAAGGATCCCAACCGCACAACCCTGAGTTCCGTGGAGTCTCTTTTAAACTCCCCTTTCCTTCCTCGCAGGGCATTGGGTGCTACATGTTCCGCATTGATGACTTTGATGTGGTGGACGCTACGATGCACGGCAACGCCGCCCGCTTCATCAACCACTCCTGCGAGCCCAACTGCTACTCCCGCGTCATCCACGTGGAAGGCCAGAAGCATATTGTCATTTTCGCCCTGCGCCGGATCTTCCGGGGCGAAGAACTCACCTACGACTACAAGTTCCCCTTCGAAGATGCTGGCAGCAAACTCCCTTGCAATTGTGGAGCCAAGCGCTGCCGTCGTTTCCTCAATTAAAGACCGGTCCCTCACCTGGCTTTCCAGTTCCATACGCTTGCCCAGCCTCTTCCCGGTGTCCGCGGGAAGCCAGGCCAAGCGGATGGAAGGGGAGCTTTAATCATGGCATAACCTTTTGGCGGGCTGCTGCGTTGCTGACTCATCCTTTTTAATCCCTTGAAGCGTGTGACTCCAAGGGCCTCAATCATCTCCAAAGAGCATCAGGGATGCCCGTCTTGTGGGTGATGAGGAAAAGCTCTTAGCAGCAGCTCGGTCCTTTATTATTATTATTTTCGTGGCTTGAAATTATGAGACGCAGAGATCCAGGGCAAAACAAAATGCGGGAAGAATCACCTCTTATTTGTGCCCCTCTCCTTCTGCTTCATAGACCTCTTTCCCTTCTTCTTCCTCCTCCTCCTCTTCTTCCCCCTCCGCACCTCCCCAAATCCTGTGGGGCAAGAACAATCTTTTATTTTGTACTTTTAAATTTTGTGGGTTCCCCCCCCTCCTTCCTCCAAGATGATCCTCTGTTTTAAAGAAGAAGAAAAAAAATACATCAAACCCAGGAGGATGTAAATAGTTGTACAAATTTCTAAACCTGTTTATTTTCTATGCACTTTTTTTATTTAAGATGCTCAGTCAACTCAGACGGGAAAGGGTTGGATTCTTGTTGGTATAATTTTAAATAAAAAGCAATTTTGACACAAGATTGTGTCTTCTATGGCTGTTCTGATCTAGGCTTCCCCCAAAAGCACAAGGCCAGAGTCCTGGTCCCGAGAAAACCCCTTTTATTAAAAGAATGTGAATTCCTCCCATTCACATTCAGCAAACGCCTGGCAGAGTGTCTTTCAAAGGAATATTTATGGCTACAAAACTTATCTATCTGGGAAAACTGCCATGTAAATATTTCCCAAATGAGGGGCTGTGCAAGGAAAGACTGGGCACAGAGTCTCTGAGATTCATGGACAGATCTTCACACTCCTGAAATGAATCTAACGACCAACCGAACAGTTTCCTGCAAAAGCCCACTCCCCTTTTGCTCCTCTTTTATTTCCTACGGGAGGGGCCAATCACCTTCCACCTGTGACTTTACTCCCAAGTTGACCCTGATTTCTGAGTTGTTTTCTTCAGGCAGCTCTGCGCATACGCACGCTGGGAAGAGGCTCTAGCTGTTCCTCTACCTCACTGCTGTCTAGCTC